ATGTAATATATACAGACTTTGCAAAAGCCTTCGACAAGTGTGACCATGGCGTAATAACGCACAAAAAAAGTGCTAAAGGAATAACAGGAAAAGTTGGCCCGTAATGCTATGCATATAAGTGGCTTTGGCATGCTGCTCTTACCTGTATTTTTTGTACCTCTGTTTGTATGCTTAAATTACTAAATAAATAAATAAATGGATCTATAATTTCCTCACAAACAGAACACAAAGAGTAGTAGTCAACAGAGTAAAGTCCGAGGCAGCTATGGTGAAAAGCTCTGTTCCACAAGGCACAGTACTCGCTCCCATCTTGTTCCTCATCCTCATATCTGACATAGACAAGGATGTCAGCCACAGCACCGTGTCTTCCTTTGCAGATGGCACCCGAATCTGCATGACGGTGTCTTCCATTGCAGACACTGCAAGGTTCCAGGCGGACATCAACCAAATCTTTCAGTGGGCTGTAGAAAACAATATGAAGTTCAACGATGAGAAATTTCAATTACTCAGATATGGCAAACACGAGGAAATTAAATCTTCATCAGAGTACAAAACAAATTCTGGCCACAATATAGAGCGAAACACCAACGTCAAAGACCTGGGAGTGATCATCTCGGAGGATCTCACCTTCAAGGGCCATAGCACTGTATCAATCGCAGCTGCTAGAAAAATGACAGGATGGATAATGAGAACCTTCAAAACTAGGGATGCCAAGCCCATGATGACACTCTTCAGGTCACTTGTTCTATCTAGGCTGGAATATTGCTGCACACTAACAGCACCTTTCAAGGCAGGGGAAATTGCTGACCTAGAAAATGTACAGAGAACCTTCACGGCGCGCATAACGGAGATAAAACACCTCAATTACTGGGAGCGCTTGAGGTTCCTGAACCTGTATTCCCTGGAACGCAGGCGGGAGAGATACATGATTATATACACCTGGAAAATCCTAGAGGGACTAGTACCGAACTTGCACACGAAAATCGCTCACTACGAAAGCGAAAGACTTGGCAGACGATGCAACATCCTCCCAATGAAAAGCAGGGGTGTCACTAGCACGTTAAGAGACCATACAATAAGTGTCAGGGGCCCGAGACTGTTCAACTGCCTCCCAGCATACATAAGGGGGATTACCAATAGACCCCTGGCAGTCTTCAAGATGGCACTGGACAAGCACCTAAAGTCGGTACCTGACCAGCCGGGCTGTGGCTCGTACGTTGGTTTGCGTGCAGCCAGCAGTAACAGCCTGGTTGATCAGGCTCTGATCCACCAGGAGGCCTGGTCACAGACCGGGCCGCGGGGGCGTTGACCCCCGGAACTCTCTCCAGTTAAACTCCAGGTAAACTCCAGGACTAAAACCCAGTTACCTATTTACATGCTAGGTAAACGGGGACTGTAGGTGTAAGGATACACGCCCAGTGTTTCTACCCTTGCCGGAGATCGAACCACGGACACTGTGTGAAGCGAGAGAGTTGCCTATCAGGCCGACTGAAATGTATGCGAAGATGTAGCTATACCTAGTGGAATCTGACGCTAGGTATAGGGTCACACATTATATATAGTGTGGTCAGATCCTACTGTGATCTCTAATCCTTTTTCCCGCTACTGATCACAGGTGAGGACTGGATGCTCAATTAACTAATCTCTCAGGCTGCGCAATTAGCTGAACTACTAGTCCCCATCTGATATCATTACGATGATTGTCGATTTCAGAATTTATATAACTTAAAGGAAATTGACGACCCTCCCCTCGCCAAGTGTAGATCCACGAAATCGTAATAATACGATAGCAAACACACCACGGAACGAGTGGGTTTGAACCCAAGGCGAGTGAATTAGTTTTTGAGTTTTAGGACCTCCCTTGTAATGGATTCAAACCCCACTCATTCCTTGATCAGATTTTTAAAATGTAAGTTTATTTAGGCACAAATACACATAAGTACAATCATACATAGTATAAATTATCTTGGAAAGCCCCCAAAAAGTCAAAGTGACCGATTTCCATTGCGGTGCAGATGTTTCTCGAGAAGGATATATGCACATTCCTCCGTTTATCACTGAAGGGGTATCCTGTTTCCTCTAATGATCAACCAGATTTGGAAAAGCTTTCGTTCCGGGAGGCAGGGTACGATACAGCACCAGCTGTCAGTGGCCCTATAAAAACTCCACAAAACAACAAAAGAAGACAGATCCTCATTTAGATCCATGATTACGTAAGCTGTTGAGTCAGTGGACCTTCGCCAGCCTTCGTCAGGTGTGGACGTCTCTCTCTCGCCTGAGTGTTAGTGACAAATTTTCCCCGTCCTCATCTACTTTGCCCGCCGAACACATTACAGGAGGGCCACCTGGTTATCTTAGGTAATCTACACACATGCTGCTATGTATGATAATTTATGTAATTGTATCTGAATATAACATATTAATCGGCTTACTTATAGCCAGTTCCATTGCTCCAATCTGCGGATAATTTTTTAACGGTTTAGGTGGAGAGCCGGTTACTAAACTCAGGTGGGGGTGAAGGCGTTCCGCTCTTCTGGTGCCTGACAAGTAAGTTTATTCAGGTATACACAAATGCAGTTACACCATATGTGTGAAGAACCCAGGAAAACCCAAAAAGGTCAGGCAGGGTGACTTATTTCCACTGGGGTCCTTTTTAATACCTTATTATTATATACTATAAAGGAGATATCTTATTTTTATACTATAAAGGAGATAATATCTTATTATCATACTATGAAGGAGATATACTAGGAATAAGATAAAATTAGTTATTTATATTTACATGTGTGTTAGCTAAAAAAATAAAAAATCATTCCCCTCCCTTTCTGTCGTTACATTCATCAGGCACCTTTTGGCTCTCGTTTTGAACTGGCTCATGCTATGAATGGCTTTGACATGTGCAGACAGTCTGTTCCATTCCTTTACTGTTGTAGAGTAAAAGGTGTTTGAAGCCTGGCCACTGACTGTGGGTACTACAAAGTTGTGCTCTCTCCCCCTAGTACTATGATTGCTTTGGTTCCCAACCTTGACAAAATTGGCAGCAAGATATTCTGGACACTGTTTGTGAGCAATTTTATAAACTTGATTTAACTTCAGTTATTTTACCCTGTCTTCAACATTCACCATATCCAATTGTTGTAATTCATCCTGGCCTACATGTTCTCTTGGACCCAGATACAGAATGAATCTTACCATTTTCTTCTGGGTGATTTGCAGTCTATCTTTCAGTTTTTTTTTTTTGTCAAGGCAGAGTACCATGAAGAGCAAGCATAGTCCATGTGACATTGTATAAGGGCTAGACATAGGGTCCTGTGAGCCTCAGAAGGTAGACACTGTGTTTGTCTGTAGAGGAACTTCTGTCTGGCATTCGCTTTCTCTACTACGCTGTTCCCTATCAATTCTTCTGACATGCATGGGTCAAAGGGGATTCCCAGATATTTTACTGAGGAAACTGATGTGATGGGTTCCCCAGTACACCGGACATGACAATTATTTGCCCTTCTCAGTTTATGTTTTGTGCCAAAGCAGTGGCGGCTCGTGTATAGACACTGCGGAACTGCAGCACCCCTTAATTTCACTCGATATTATTGATTTAGTAAGTAAGTTTATTCAGGTATACACAAATACAGTTACATAGAATTATCATACATAGCAGCATATGTGTAGAGAACCTAGGATAACCTAAAAAAGTCAGAGTGACTTATTTCCATTGGGGTCCTTTAACACTTATAATGAGTCTTGTCTTTAATTCTTTCTTTATACTTGTACATTATATAATCCTTAAGCTTCATGTCAGTAGCCATCCTCTAGTACATGAAAAAATTACAAAAATCCTTCTATGGAATTGTGCGCTTCACAGTTCCAGCTACTCGGTGTTTGGCTGTTGTGTGCATGCGTACATGTCCGAGATAAGACGCTGCACACTAGGTAGAGAGAGCGCTGTTGCTGATGCAGTGCTGACCCTGTTGTGCAAGTGTAAGGCTAACAATTTTCTGAAGCAGCACCTCCACTAATTTTAGCTATGAGCCGCAACTGTATGGCTTTAAATTCCCGAGGTGTAGCGATAGTTTGTTGTCTACTAACCATTTGCTGCAGGACTAGTTCCAGTGTTATTACATTAGTTATATCTTTTGGGTCTTTACCTGACACTAACAGAGCACAGTCATCCGCATACAGTAGGAGTTTGCACTTGACACTGATGGGCATGTCGTTTACATAACATAGAAATAATTAGGAACCCAGAATACTACCTTGGGGAACGCCACATAATGCAATGTGGTTGACAGTATCGACTGCCTTTTGTAAGTTTAAGGTTATCATTCCTATGATGTTCCCAATCGACATTTCAGTTCTCATGTAATCCATCAAATTAATTAGGGGGGTGTCGGTTGAATAAGATCTCCTAAAGCCCAATTGGTATCTATGATGAATGTTGTCATTAAAATACTTAACAACTTGACAGTACACCGCCCTCTCTAGAATTTTGGATATTACACTGAGCATACTAACAGGCTGACATCAGACCTACTATTTTCCTTGGCCTCCTTGAACCTCTCTGGTACGGTATTAGTGGTGATGGACAAATTTATTATGTGAGAAATGGGGATTGACAATTCAGAGGCACATTTTTGAGGAACTTAGACAAGGTGATCCACCTGATCTAATTGGAAACTTCAAGTTTCTATTTCTATTTACAAAGTAACTCTTGTTCATTTTTCTTTCATGGTCAAGCTCTGGTCAACATATTTTCCCCTTACCATCGGGAAGTTTAGTTCAATGTTTATTATGCACCCCATACCCATCCTGTGGGCGGTAGTCAAAAGATTACAGAGGTACATAATTGGTCCAGGGACTGGACTCCAAAGTTTTGATAGCTGAGCAAGTTACAGAGGTAATGAACTCACATTTACAAAGGTAATGAACTCCAGGCAGCTCTGGTCACAATCATGACAAGTCACAAAGGTATTTACAGGTCGGGCTCGATACTACGTAACCTGTCA